CCGCTCAAAGGTCACTTCCAGCTTATAGAATTGAAGAAACCACATCTAGATCAGTTCTGACAAGTGTTGGGACTGTTCTTTGAAGACCCAGATTCTTAAAGCCCCCACTCTTTGCTTATTCTTTAATGTGGACTCTTACTGAACTTCACCATACCTTGGTGGCTCACAGTTAATTAACCCTCCCGTGGCACAGCATAACAATATGGCAAACATTCATTAACACATATTTTAAACACCCAAGCATTATCTTTGCATCTACCAATTGGATGCTATTAGATTCATAGTGACTCCTTCCTGCTGGAATTCTTTAGGGGCAGAAAGAGATTGTAATTAAACAAGTTGAAGATCAAGCAGAAGACTAAAAGAGATGCGAGGCCCCCCGGGTCAGCTTCATCCCTGACTTTCTGTGTGTGCTTGGTGCTTGCCCTCTGTTTGGCGCTTCCTTCATCTATAAAATCGGGCGGATGGTACCACCACTGCCCCCACAACCTGAGGCAAGTTTTGTAGGGATAAATTAAACTTTAAAAATATTCGAAGCAAGGTGGAGGAATGTGCTCTTTAAGTATACATTCTTTTTTTCTCTTATTATTATTATTTTTTTTGGCCACGCCGTGCAGCATGTGGGATCTTAGTTCCCCGACCAGAGATTGAACCCACACCCCTTGCGTTGGAAGCACAGAGTCTTAACCACTGGACCACCAGGGAAGTCCCTAAGTATACATTCTTAAGTTACGGTTGATATTTTAAAAGGAGTCAATGTGACCTAGCAGTTAGTTCAGGGTCAGGAACCTGGTGGGTCTAAGTTTGCCTACTGATTCTTTTCCTTGTCTTAAAATGGGGATAATAATAGAATCTAGTCCATGGTGGCATGGTGAAGATTAACACTTGGCATATAGTAAGCACTATATAAATGTTAGCTAGTATTAATAGTTGCAGTAGTAATTTTTTAAGGGTTCCAGGTTATAGATGATTTACCATGAGATTTCTTTCAAAAAGAGCCTTGTTCATTCTTCAAATATTAAATTGTGACTTTCTAAGACCCAGGTACTGCATTAAAAGTTCAGGGAGCATGGGAGGAGTGTTACATCTTTGTGGGAGGGTCAGAAAAGACTTAAAAGTCTTTCCAAAGGAGGAAGTGCCCCTTCAGTGAATTCTAAAGGATGAGTAGGAGTTTTCTAGGTGAGTGGAGGCAGTAGTGAGTGAGCAGAGAAAGCCACAAGCACAGAGGCATGGAGGCATTGGTGAGTGTGGAGTATTTGGTGGACCAGGAGTGATTCAGTAAAGTAGGAAATGTAGAATGTGAGGTTGGGAGTGTCAGGAGGGGAGACTGGACTGGTAGTCAGGACCCAGATCTGAGGGTCTTTGAATGCCATACCAAAGCGTTTAGACTTTTATCCTCAAAGTTTGGGGAGCCTTTGCATTATGTTGAGCAGGAGAGTACATATAGGAAAGGTAAGTCAGTGGCAGGACTGAGATCTGATTAGGTTCCTGCATGGCTGAATATGTGGCCTTTAGTAATTGGACCTCTGCGGCTTTTCTCCTTGGCCTTTGTTTCCACTCCTACAGAGTGAGGAGTATAGAGCGTGCTGGAGAAGGGTAATGTGACTGGGTGCATTTCTGGGAGCCCTGGATGGATGAGGTGACACTGGTGATTGCCTGCTGGTGTGGGGTAGGATCTGAAAGCTTCTCATTGTACCAGAAACAGGAAAGGTTGGATAGAATTTGGGGGTCTGGCAAGAATGGCAGGGCTAGCTGGCCTTCTCTTAGGGATGCTTCCGAGTCCTTCTCTAACCCAGAATATTTCCAGAGCGCAGTTGGCCATGCATTTAGAAACTCCTTGCAGGACTTCCCTGGCGGTCCAGTGGTTAAGACTTTGTGCTTCCACTGCAGGGGGCATGGGTTCGATCCCTGGTTGGGGAACTAAGATCCTGCGTGCCATGCGGCACAGCCAAAAAAAGAAAAAGAAAAAGAAACTCCTTGGCTCAACTGCATCCTCTTTGTTCATTTGTTTTGCATTTTACAAACGTTTGAGGAGTTGGTATAGGAAAGGCACCCCTCATGGAGCGTCCAGGAATGTTTGAGATATGGCCCTTGTCCTTGAGATGCTTGTGTATAGCAGGGGAAGACACGCATCCAAAACTCTATTCCATATGGTAAACTTCATAAGGGAGCAGAATGGGTAGGATTTTGACAAGTGGAGATATGCTGATTGGCTTTCTAGGGCAGGAAATACATGAGCAAAGGTATAGAGCTAGAAAAGTGCAGAGACATGGAGGGATGGTGACTGGGCCACCTGCACTGGAACAAAGCTTAGAAGGGGATGGCGGGGGAGGGGGATGGAAGCCTCTAAGGAATTGGAACTGAGCGCTGCTGGGCCTGGGGAGCCCTTCCAAGGCTTTGACTCGGTAGTGACAACATCAGAGCTGTGCATTCTTTAGGACCTTGAGCTTGTATGTCTATGCAGGATGGGTTGGTGGAAACAGAGACTGGATTTGCTAAGACCAGTTAAGGATCTCTTGTGGCGATTCAGGTAGGATAATGGTCTAAATCAGGCTGGTGGCATTGGATTGGCAAAAAGAGGAGAGCAGGGACAAGGAAAGGGGCAGGACTGGAGTGATGAGTGTTAAGCTGGGGTGACTGGAAGGATAGTGGTGTCATTAGAGATAGGTAAGGCAAGAGGAGGAACAGGTCTGCACTAAGAGGAGCCCTTGCCAGAGGAAAAGGCTCTAGGTTTGGAATCAGAAGACCCAGGCTCACACGGCCCCTCTGCTCCCTCCCAGCTCAGAGACCTCTAGGTTCTGTTTCCCCACTATTAAATGGGAACAGTAATGCCTAACTGATGGGGTTGCAGGGAGGACTAAAATGCTTTATTAATGGTGTTAGTTTTTGTGCTGTTGTTTAAAAAGGGTGTGGATGGAGCTCTGGGAAGAATGACTAGATATGAATGTTTTCATAGTTTTCAAAATGACAGCTGAACCTATAGAATGAGAAGGGCCAAGGGGAATGTTTCAAGGATAGAGAAGAAGGCCCCTGGCTGACTACTGGAAACGACTGGCATTTGGGGGCAGCAGCAGGAGTAGCCAGCAGAGGAGACGGAAGGAAGACCCAGGGGGCCAGGAGGTGAATCAGGAGAGTTTGGCAAGCAGGGTGGGAATGAAGTGCCTCAGTAAACAAAGGGACAGTTGCCAGCAGTGTTGACTGTGAAGGGGTCAAGGAAAGGGCATTGGATGAGTGGGCAGAACGCCACTGATGTCCTGAAAACCAGTTTTTTCCATAGTCATCAGATCAGTGAGAAGGTGGTGAGGAAATAAAGTCAACAAGTGTCCATTACTCTGGAGATGCTTGGAGGAGATGGTGGCTCAGTAGATAAGCTGGGGCAAGGGAAGAGGGGTTGGGTCTCCTTTAGTTTAGGAAAGCCTTGAGTTTGTTTGTAGGGGGAGAAGTGGAAGGGGGTGAGAGAAGGTGCTGCAAGGTCTTTGGAGGCAGAAAAGAAAAGAGGTTGGGCACATGAGCCCAGGGAAGGAGAGGGGTGCTCCCAGGAGACAGCTGGAGGAGCTGTCATTCTACTGTGGGAATGAAATATGGCACCATGTGGACAGTACCTGACCGGGACTGTCATACAGTAGGTCGATTGGTCCGTCCTTCCTAAGCTCAGACTCATTTTTTCCAGCTACTTGCTGGGCATTTCACCTGAGCCACCTCTGTTAAAAATCTGTCCCTAAACTCATTCTTAAATTCTCTCTCCATTTTCCTTTGTCTCCTGTCATTATCTCTTGCGTGGATTATTAGAATTACTTCCTAACTGGGCTCCCCGTTTCTGGTCTGTCGCTTGCCAGCGCTCACTTTACACTGCTGCTCAAGAGATCTTTCTGTCCCACAGCGATCTGATCTTGTTACTCCCCTGTGTAACCCCAAGGCTTCCCACCCTGGTACATACGTGTTTTGCTGCTGTGTGATGTTCGTCTGCCTAACTGTTTCTGCCTCCCATGTGGTCTCCCGCCACTTGACACCGTGCTCCCCAACGCGCCGACCTGCTTACTGGTCCCTGAACGTGCCATGATGTGCCGTGCTCCATGCTTTGCTCTGCTGCCTAGGATGTCTTTCCTCCATTCTCCGCAGGCCCATTTTTCATGTTTGGAGACGCAGCTTGGAGTCAGCGCCCTGCAAAGCTGTCCTCAGCTTCCCCAGGCAATGCTAGTTGCTCATGCTTTACATTCCCTTTGTACAGTTCTGTAGTAAAGCACTCAAGCTGTATTGCAATTAATTAATTTCCTGTCTCTCCCGCTGGGCTGTGAGCTCGCTAAGGGCACCTGTATTCCCAGTACCCAGCCTGAGACTTGGCATAAAACCTAGGAGAGTCTCAGTGATTACTCTTGAATGAATTAATGAATGCCCTGCTTAATGGGGAAGGCTATTATTTATTAACTTTACTTGTGCCCAGATTTTTGAAGTATCTGGTAGAGAGAGCCATGTTCGTCAGTGCTCAGGGTGGGGACCTTGTGAGGGGTGGCTGACTGGCAGACTTGATGGCAGGCTGATGTCTGGGCTCTTGTCACTAGATGGGACTGAGTACGGGCTGAGTGAAGCTGACATGGAGGCCTCCTATGCCACGGTGAAGAGCATGGCAGAACAAATAGAGGCCGATGTCATCCTCCTCCGGGAACGTCAAGAAGCTGGGGGCCGTGTGCGCGATTACCTGGTCCGGAAGCGAGTAGGAGACAATGACTTCCTGGAAGTCAGGTGAGGAGGCTTCAGAACAGTTCCAGGTCCCCTGAAGCATGACCCTGGGGTCTGGGGCTTCACAGAGAACGGTGATTGAGCCTTTGACACCTGGCGTGTGGGCTACACC